CGGCATATATCACTTTATAACTATTGCAATATATATATATATATATATATATATATATATATATATATATATATATATATATATATATATATATATATAGTGATGTCCTTGGATTTGTGCAATAGGAATCGAATCGTGATGAGATCACGAAAATGAGATCGATTCACCTTTAAACACATATCCTATATAATCCCGGTCATAGGTTACTCGAGAGGGACATCGTGATAACCGGACAAACTAGTGTGCTGTATACCCGTCCATATGATGGATGCAACTGGTCTCACAGCTGCTCGTGTAGGGACACAAGGGATACAGTACATGTGTTCATTGGAGAATGAGTTCACTGATTGATCCGCTTACGGAATGTTGGATGGTTGATGATGCCTTATTGTCAGATAGCGATTCCGTAGTCCTAGTGGTATATCTGGTCCTTAGACTTGAGACACCAAGGATGTCCTATATGTGTACTCCACTCTTTGATACCAGACTTATAGGTTTAGCTGTCCCAGATCTAGTACAACTGGTCATTGGGAGTGGTAGTCGACCTTACGAGAGCTATTGAGTGTCGATAAATGATCATCCACTCTCGGCGTCATGAGAGGAATATCTCATGTGTTCTTGCTCAAACAAATCCCTAGCCAGAGTCATTCGGGTTGAGAGAGAAAGAGTTCTTCAGGAGAATTCGATTAGAGCGAGACTCGAGTAGAAACCATATGGGTTTGATAGCACCATGCTCGATATACGGTCTCTGGGATATTAGATGGATGAGAGACTATAGGTACACGGTAATTGAGGACAGACAGATCCAATGGATTGGATTCCCCTATATCGTCTAGGGACTACGACGTAGTGGCCTAATACGTCCGTAGTCGATGAGTCAAGTGAATTATTACAAAGATAATAATTCACTGAGTTAGAAGAAGTTCTGATAGGTATGACTCACAGCCAGCTCGATATTGGGCCTAGAGGGTCACACACATATGGTAGGCATTGCGATGAGTAGAGGTTCGGATATGAGATATCCGATAGAGCCATTGTCTTATTGAATATCCAATAAGTCCATGAATTATTGGATCCCATAGACGAGATCCAATAAGAGCCCATGAGAGATTATTGGATAGAGATCCACTAATCTAAAAGGCTTGGGTTATTGGATGCAGATCCAATACCCACTAGGGGAGGATCCATTAGGGTTTGACATGAGACCTCTATAAATAGGAGATATTAAGAGCCTTATAAGCTAGAGCCTTTGCTTGCCTCTCCTATTCTCCTTCTCCTCTCCACCTCAAAGCAGACCTGGAGTTTTGAGGAGTGTCGTCGCAGCCCTACTGTGTGGATCACTGCTAGAGAGGAGGACGCTTGACCTCCTTCACCCTCTCCTAAAGATCTGCAAGGAAACAGGGATATACGATCTCCCTAGGTAACACAATCTATTATATACATAGTTTTTCAGTTTCGTGGATTTTGTGCACCAATCTTCGTACGACGACGAACATCTCTTTGGGAATCGGGGATTTTGTTTTCTTGTTCTTCCACTACGCATGTGATGTCGCTTCTAAAGATTTTCCCAACAGTATATAGGGCTCAACCTCTTTATTTTTTATAATATATTAAAAATTAGTTAAAATAAAATATTTTATTTTTTTAAGTCTAACTAATTTTGATTTTATTTTTTCTTCCTCGTAAGAGCTTTTATGACCATCGCCTATGCACCATATTATTGCTGATACTCTTGCAGGCCATGCTTCTTGTCATCAATCGTAGCCACTCGACCTATGCTCCATATCATCCCCTAGTTCATGCTTCAATATGGTTTTACGTCATTAAACCTTACTCACTACCCTCTCAATACTTTTCTACCAAGAGGTTGAAGAAAAAAATAAAAGGATGAAGAACAAGAAGAAGATGATATTGATGTGTATTTAAAAAAAGATAATATCAAAATATTATTTTTTTTTAAAATGAGATTATAAATAGTAACATCGCATGAGAAATTGAAAGATAATAGATAATGTCCTCTAAATGTAATCAATTACTATATCTACCCTTTTAAATTCCAGTTGAGTTAATCGTCTTTAATTAACTATTGTTTGGACTTTAAGGCAGTGTTTTGAATCCTCTAATGGACATTATGACCTTTCAAAACTCTAATGACGATGAGAACATTAAAGATATTTTATATAATCTTAATTTTAATTTAACTGAGTTTAATTAAGATTTATAAAGGCAAGTATACTATTAGAAACAATATATTCGCTCACCCCATGAAATAAACCCAAACGGTGGGTCCTACCAAAACACAGTCTTGGCTAAAAGCCGGCCCCACACTTCCTGGGTTGGCGAAACCGTCGTTGGTAGAGAATAGCTATAGAGCGTCCCATCGAACCGTCCATTCCATCTAAATTTTCGATCTCAGCCATTCGTTTGTTTTGGTCAAATTAATACTATATCATCAGGTACTTCTTATTTAAACGAACGAACGATCGAGATCGAAATCCATGATGAAACGAACGGTTCCGATGGAATCTTCATGTCTTTCCCGTGGCGGAAGCCGCGCAGCCCTCTCGTTTCGTACGTATCCTTCATGCAGCCGCGCGCCCATTTCAGCCCATTGCATCGCCGTCCACAGTGCTCGAAGATTCACGCCCAATCTGATCTGCCGGACCATGGACGGTGAAGATGGTCGCGCAGAGGAATAAGCTGTGAGAGAACACGCACGCAATATTTACTTGACCGGCTGTGACCGGTAAAACCCACGGGATCCACCGGTGCCACCCGGTCACAGTGTCACGTATTGGTTGCCGCCGCGTTCCCTCGACGCTTTAACGCCCCCTCGTCTACCGGCGAACGTAATGGTTCCATTCGATGCGCTGCAAACCGGCGCGGAGGTGGCTATATAAAGTTGACACACTCCGGTTTTCCACTCCTCTCGTCCCCCCTCCCGTCGCTTTGCTAGGGTTTGTCTCGAAGTCGTTAGGCGGTGGAGTCTTCGATCGGATCTCCATCGGCTTCCATTCCACTTCTTCTCTCGATCGGACAACAGACGAATGGGTCCGAACGCCCGATCTTGCTCCCGTTTCTGTCTTCTCTTCTTGATTGCATCTTCGGGTTTTCCACTCGTTTGATTTTTCGTGTGGTTGCATGTGAGGGTTTGTTTCTTTGTTCCTCGATCGATCTGGTTCTGCTTCTCGTTTGTTTGCCATCTTTCGAAGCAAACCATTCGAGGTCGAGAAACTTCCTATTTGTGGGAATCTCGATGTTTTGGCATCCCAATGCAGCAGCTAAAAGTGGAAATCTTTCCCTGAACGTCGCGTTGAGTTTGCTATGGTCGACTTTTTTAATGCGATTATGAAACTGTTGGCATGTAATCCATCTGTAGAGATTTGTATGACTCCTTTATGCCAAAGATTGGGAATAAGGGCGTATATTGGTTTTGCTAATACTTTGTTGTTGGGGATCGATAAAGCATACAAATGTACAAACATTAGAAATGCAGATCGATCAAAGTGGAAGATCTATAGAGATAGAACAAATTAGGATCTGCGGAACTAAACAAGAAAAGATAAAGACTCAGAAAAAGCATTTTAAATCCCTAGCTTCACCTTATGTTTATCCTCTTTCATTGAAGTCCAAATACGCTATGGTCAATGGGTTAAAAAACATTTTTAATATGGGATACAAGTGCTTTGGATCAGTTGATTCTAATGTGAATAAATGATCATTTGATTCTAAATGTATCACTATCGTGGTATGAATGCTCGCGAAACTAATGTAGTTGTTGGGATGGCCAATTCTGATAACTCCGCCATAATGCCTGAAACTTATGTTGTCGATCTATCTGGAAGCAAAACGGATGTGAGTTGGTATCGCTGTAACAATTTGGATTTCGGGAATGTAGTTCACTGATATTTCACGTTTGTATCGCGCTGTGGTTTCAACTTTCTTTTAACATAGTTATAGGGGTTAATTGTGTATTTCACTTGTATTTGATTGATCTGATTTTTCTTTTTGTCTTGAATGTATTCTATACAAATTTCATTAAAGATGAGTGATCTTTCTTAGAGAGTTTACATAGTTTCTTGAGCTATGATTGCACCTAGTAAGTGATAGAAAGGATAGGGTTTTTTCAACACTCTATTTCAGTCAGATCATAAACAGAGTTGGCGATTGTTTGTCTCTACCAGTTTTGTTGTTAGATATTGTTTTGATTTTCTAAGTAATATTGAGTGTTGTGGAATTTTGTTATAATTGTCAAGTATATGATTGTTTAAGCTTCTACAATTGACCATGGATCATCGTTTTTAGTGGAATATGGTCAGATTACTGAAAATATGGTTATTTGAGGCAGATTGCTGAAAATATGGATATATGTTATCTTTCTATCCCTTTTCTGTTAACAAATTAAGTTTCATCTGTGTTGCTATTTTTAAATTTAGATAAGCTAATGAAGCAAAGAGATAATACCTGAAAAGACATAGATAAAATTGGTCATATCTAAATGTGCAATGTTTAGAATTCAAACTTAGAAACGAAGGATATATCCAAACTGTAAATACGAAGTAAAGATTAAAAGGAGGAATGAGGGGACATGATTACATGCACATTGAAGGGTTGTAAATGCTGATGAAAGGTCCATATGTATACTAACGTGAACATGGTATGTTATCCATACAAATGCCATGCAAGAATCTCAACAAGTCAAATTGACTATAAGTGAAATCCAAATTTAATGGTCATTTGGTTATTGGAGTATCTGTTTCTTTTGTAATGTTAGATCTGATCGATTTAGATTGATCTCTATGGAGGAATCTCTCTCTTTTCGGCATCTGTACCCTTCTCCTTTAAACCTCTATTTGGGTACTGTTCTTGTTCATAAAACTAGTGTTGGATGTCCAGTCCTGATCACTCAGGCAGAATGCATTATGTAACTGCAAACAATTAGTTGACTAAGTTTGGAGTTGTGTTTCAGAAGTTTAATTGCGATGTTGTTGCTTGCGGGGCCCTTGTCCCTTAAAGAAGTTTCTGATTTAATTTTATCTTTGGTGGTTTGTCAATTCCTCAAGAAATCTCTCAGTCTGGGAAATGTTCTTCTGATACAATTATTGGTGCTCTAATTCTTGCTTTTTTGTACTGGATGTATATCTTACCTCATCTACCTTGTTCGACTTGATCAGTGCAGACTGCTTGACACATCAACTAATTTTGAACCATCTTTGTCAACTTTCAGTTATGCCTTCCTTTACTGTGGATCCAGAGGATGATACTGAGAATAGTGGTACAAAAGCCGGGGAGTTAACTCCATTGAAAATCCAGGAATTTGATTTCTCAAAGCTAGAAATTAGGCCTAGGAACCATAACATTGATCGCCACAGGTCCTGTGAAGTTAAGGCATTATTTGAGCTATCCATGGCCAGTGCATCCCCTCGTCATACTTTAAAGAACCTTGATCACTTGAAAATCACAGAGCACCTAGAGAATGCTTACTCACCTTCTTGGAGGTCAAATGTGAATTCTCCAAAGGCTTCCATCGGTTCTCATCTACAAGCTGAAGCTTGGGAAGCTCTGAGGCGCTCATTGGTTCACTTTCGGGGACGTCCGGTTGGTACAATTGCTGCAATGGACCCTTCAGAAGAAGCACTTAACTATAATCAGGTTTTCACTTCTGTCAATAGTGTTCTTTTTAGAATTTGTTTCTGCCTCCAAATCAAAATATGTGAATTCTTGAATCTAAATTGGCATTCCTTTTTTATCTTCAGTTGCCCTGGCAATATATAATAGTCAGTTCCTTAATTCAATGCTAATTGACAATGTCTTGCTAAGAAATTTTTTCTCAGGGGTATACTGATCTGTCGAGTATTTTCTTTATATATTCTTATAAACATAAGTGGTATACTGATCTGTGAGTATTTTCTTTAGATATTCTTAGAAACATAAGTGGTTAACTCTACAAGCTAGAATGATGGACCAACACAGGGTTTCATGGATGTATAGTAGCTAACATGCACTGCTTTTTGTTTCGCGGATCATCCTTTTCATCTTTATAAATTGCTTGTATATGCAAACAATTTTAGCTGTTTATGGTGAGTTAAAATCAACTGACCCATTGACATTTTAGGGGGTACTGGTAATTGTTCTGTATATGATTTATGTATTGTTCTAAAGTTTTAATGTAGTGGACAAGTTATTGTAAACATGTCCATATGATGCGGTACAGTGCTGTTTTATTAGACTGATTTGGTGCTGCACAGCATGAAGGCTTCTCCTAGAAGATATATCTTAATACGGTGCAATATGTGGTAGCATCACAGGTCCAGTGGCACTGGCTATTCAAATTATTTTAATTTCTCAGGTATTTGTGAGAGACTTTGTCCCAAGTGCCTTGGCATTTCTGATGAGTAGAGAGCCTGAAATAGTTAGAAACTTCCTCACGAAAACGCTTCGACTTCAATCATGGGAAAAGAAGATTGACCGCTTTCAGCTTGGAGCAGGTGTCATGCCAGCAAGTTTCAAGGTTTTCCAGGATCCCATCCGGAATACGGAAACTTTAATTGCTGACTTTGGAGAAAGTGCCATTGGAAGAGTTGCCCCTGTAGATTCTGGCTTTTGGTGGATAATATTACTTCGTGCTTACACAAGGGCTACAGGAGACTCATCCTTGGCTGACACCCCTGATTGTCAGCAGGGGATACGCCTTATTCTGTCATTGTGCCTCTCAGAAGGGTTTGACACATTCCCAACACTGCTTTGTGCTGATGGATGCTGTATGATTGACCGTCGTATGGTAATTTTTTCACTGCTTTTGACTTGATATCTTTTACATGCATCCTTTGCTGGACTTGAGTATGATTAACTTGGTTCACCAACTCATTAGCATATGGTTGGTATGTATGTTAGCTGACTGCAAAAAGCCTGTATGTGATTGTACATAATTTAATTATATATTAGAAAGGTTCGCAAGGTTCACCTGAAAATTAGATTAAATCATTAAACAATTTTTGTATCCGAAGAACCTTATTAAATTTAGAATGAGACTTGTGGTAAAACAAAGAAAGAACTTTTGATAGCTTGACAAATAGTGTGATTGCCTACATCCTTTTTCTGTTTTTTACTTGTGTTGATTGGAGAAGCAATATATGGCCCATATGTGATCCACCAAATGGGAAGTTTTGTGATTTGAAATTATCTAAACTGTCCTGCTTGTTGATTTATTATCAGAAATTCAAATCAGGATCATGCATGTGCTATGAATGAATCATCCTACCAGAATGTTGGAAATTTAAAGAAAAACCATTTTGCAAAGTTTCTGACCTGCGAAAGTGAGATTGTGTTTGAATTTCTGAAAGAAGGAAAAAATATTATGCAATCAAAATATATCTTGCAATTGTCTTAATACAAACTCTTGCTGCACAATATGTAACAACATAAAGTCATTGACTACTAAATAGACAACAACTCAACTATATTTCTGAAAATTTCATGCTTAAACCTTTGATTCTCGATAAGGAAAATCCTGTTTGCCTTACTAGCTGCCTGCTGGCTTTTTTTAGTTTTAAAAACTGTTGTCAACTGAACATCAGTATGAAGTAATACTGGTTTCTTGGGCAGCTTTTACTGCTCTATTTGGCTTCTCTTCTGTCTTTAAAGATATCTCTTATCTCCATCTGCTGTTTTGCCTTTATCTTTATGTGGATGTTGTTGAGCATCATTTCATTTTAACAATTCATGTTTCACTCTTTTGCAAAACAGAGCTAGAGTCCTTTAGGTTGGTTTAGAAAACTAAAAAAAGTGTTTCCTAGCATCGTCACCCATCTTCTGAACATTAGGACTGAACTAATCGATTTCGCTGTTTAAGGAAAAAACAGTACTATTTTACTTTTATCTTTTTCTATGAACCTGCATAGCAATTTTTTTACACTTCACCAAGTTATACCTATTATGGTCACATGTGCGTATCATTCATCACTTAAATACATTTATATCTAATGTGTTAGGCTGTGGGAACATTGAAGAATATCAATATTTAGCATCAGAAACATCCTATGAGAATTCACCAGATTCACATTTCTGGCAGACTGGCACTATGAAAACAATGGTTAACAGAAACAGTAGGTGGTTCACCTTCAGCATATGGAAGTCATATTGCTTTTATGCATCTTGATTCTCCATCATAAAGAGAGCTGGTTGTTTCAATGTTAACATTACTGAAAAAAATGAACAATTAGCAATTCAAGAATAAGCTTAACAACACTTTCATAAGTTTAAAGATGAAATATATGGAAGTTGCATTATCATTTGGTGTGATGTCAAATGTGCATATTCTCCTTTTGTTATAAGTTCAATATTTCATGGCTTTCTTTGTAACATTGGAAATTCAAATTGTTTGTGAGGCTTCTTTTAGCAAGAAATGCAACTGAACTACATGATTTCAACTGAGAAAATGATAATTTCTCTTGTTGCTTCATAAGTTACTCAAGTGTGCTGATTTAGTTAAGTGGTAACCATATTACAGGGCATCTATGGTTATCCTATTGAAATACAAGCATTATTTTTTATGGCTTTAAGGTGTGCCTTAAATTTGTTAAAACAAGATGACAAGGGTAAGGAGTTCGTTGAGCTTATAACTAAACGCCTTCATGCATTGAGCTATCACTTGCGGAGTTACTTTTGGCTTGACTTTCGCCAGCTTAATGACATATATCGTTATAAGACAGAGGAATATTCTCATACTGCAGTAAACAAGTTCAATGTAATGCCTGACTCTCTCCCAGATTGGCTATTTGATTTTGTCCCAAATCGTGGTGGTTACTTCATTGGAAATGTCAGTCCTGCTAGAATGGACTTCCGTTGGTTCTGCTTAGGCAATTGCATTGCAATTTTATCATCTTTGGCAACTCCCAATCAGTCTGCTGCGATTATGGATCTTATTGAAGCACGTTGGACAGAATTGGTTGGAGAGATGCCCTTAAAAGTTTGTTATCCAGCTCTGGAAAATCATGAGTGGCGAGTCATAACTGGTTGCGATCCAAAAAACACTCGTTGGAGCTACCACAATGGTGGTTCTTGGCCAGGTGAGACTTCACAAGCTATGTTTAACGGATCTAGAAAATAAATTCTTTTATGTAACTTTTCTACTTCCAAGTTTGCTTCTTGAATAACCTCACAATGCATGCTGCTGATATAGCCATATTTTATTCTTTGTAATATTCAAGTCATGATTCATCTTACCGGTCTATACCGGTGTATTGACCAGCTGTTAGTTTGGTATGTACCAAGCTTTACCGAGTATACCGACATATAGTATATTGGACTATATCGATGTATCACTCTGGTCCCCTATTAGACTAGTACATACCGCCTGTATTGAGCAGTATGTCATGGTTTGATAAACCTTGATTCAAATATAAAAGTACTGTATAGGTCTGCACATGAATATAAAAGTCTCTAATGCATTATCATGAGCTCTTTCGATGAGGTCACCGGCGTCAACTAGAGACCTTCCTTCAATAGGCGAAGGCCAACCACCCTTTTATAGCTTTTCTCCTTTTGAGGGGCTTAGGAGACAACACTTACAAAGAAAGAGGGAGAAGAACTCTAGTCTTTTCAACACTTTTAAGCTCTCAAATACTCAAGATTAAAGCAAATTTCGGTGCCCTTTCGTGTAGGAAACGGTGGGGTTTATATAGGCCCCAATCAATTTGAAAATGGAGCTCAAAAGTGTCAATTTTCGGATTTCCAGGGTCCTGGCGGTACTATCACCTGTCATCTGTCATTGAGCGGTACCACCACTCAGTCTGGGCGGTACTACCACTTGACAGCGCTCGAAGACCAAGCTCAGGCGGTACCACCGCCTGACAGGGGCGGTACTACCGCTTAGAACTCTTGGGAGATTGAGTCTCCTAGGCGGTGCCATCGCCAACCAGGAATTCTGGGTCCAAATGGGTTGTTTTATTCGACCTAACTTAGGTCTGTTAAGAGCTCAGTTGGCCCCTGATTAAGTTAGTGGGATCACCTCCTAATTCTAACTTAATCTACATACTAACTATGATAATTAAGACATCATTACTGTAATTTATGTTCCGATGCGTCAATCGCTTCTTCCGGCGAACTTCCGGCAAACATCCGACGAACCCTAGACAATGCTCCGGCGGACTCCCGGCAATCTCCTGGACTTCGCGACGATCTTCTTGGCGAGTTCCGACGAGCTTCTTTGGCAAGCTCCTGGACTTCTCGGATTGTTCCCACAGAACTTCCGACGAACGTCCGGACTTCCGACGAACTCTCGAACCCCCAACGTGATCTTTGTCTTGACTTCGGCTCAACACCTGCTGCATGTCTTACTATCATCGTAGTTAATCCTGTATACTTATCTCAACATATAGATTAGATAAACAAATGACAATTGACTTCATTATCAAAATCCGAGATTCAACATTAGACTCTTACATTTTTTTTTCTGCTTACTTTGGTTTTTGAATTGGAGAGCTTTCAACTTTTCATCTTTAATCTACATTATACTTATCAAATCTCTTGATTTTTCTTTTGAGTATATCTTATGTTTTTAATGATAAAAATCTTGCTCAATCTATTTTGTTGTCAGTTCAACGTTTTATATATAATAAAAATTTAGCTTTATTCTATGAATTATTAGCATTTACAGGATTTTGATATACAATCAAATTCAATTTAATAGAATAGTAAGTCTAGTAGTTTGTCGATCTAGTTTATTGAAAAATGTAAACGGACAAAACCGTAAACGGGGTGTTTGATGTAATGTTCATGTATGTCCGTGTCTTTCGGTTTCGTTCATATTTTGCACAGCATATAAAGGGCCAACAGTAGGCTTAACAATCCCATTTTCCTTGGTTTTGGTGGTCGTCCTAGGCTTACAAACAAAGGTTATGTTATGTGGGCACTTGTGGGGATTTCGATTTGTAGTGGACCATTTTGGACCCTTTGTTGTGTGACTGTTCAGAGCTTGTGAAGTTTGTTTGTAATTTGCATTGACTATGAAGTATTTACTGAAATGATTGCTTGTGGATCCCGAGTGAGACGTTTTCTCTAACTTATTTTCTCTTTTAAAGATCCTAAGGGACCATAGGAGGTTTCGGGGAGGCTGACCTTTGCAGATGGACACGCAAGGGTGCCGCACGACTTAGACAAAACCAGCTAAGTGCGTGACATATTATCACGGACTTAGCTGGTTTTAGTTTAAGTCGTGCGGCACCCTTACGTGTCCATCCGCAAAGTCAGCCTCCCCGAACAAACATTCCAGAAAACACTTCATTGACAATGCAAATTACAAACAAACTTTACAAGCTCAGAACAGTTGCACAACAAAGGGGCAAAATGGTCTATTATAGATAAAAAATCTTTTCACAAGTGTCTACATGACACAACCTTTATTTACAAGCCTAAATAGGCCACCAAACCCAACTAAAATAGGACTATTAAGCCTTTGGTCGTCCCTCTACATGCTGTGCAAAGCATAAATAAATAGAAAGACACGGACATACATAAGCATTACGTCAAACATCTTGTTTCGAAGTTTATCCGTGACAATATGGTATCAGAGCGGGATAAGCACTCATAGAAACATTTGGCATGTAAACATGGGGGACCTAGCGGGGCCACGTTGAGAGTAGCCATCATATGTGACTGTTTGGGAGAAACGAGTATGGAGTTGTAGGAAAAAGGAGTCGCTCAGAGGAGCGAGCATATGAGATTTGTAGTCTCAGATGCTGAAGCAAGGGGTCGAAAGGGGAACTGCTTGAAGAACACAGAGGTGTTAAAGCAAGGGGTCGAAAGGGGCGAGGAAGTAACGACGAGTCCAGAGGGACTTAGCTATCCAAAAACCAGTGAGTCCCATAAAGGGGACTTGATCATACAGAGGTATGATCGGAGCGGCTAGAGAGTTGGATTGCTCTAGAGCTCATATTCGCTTAAAGGAGCCCGGTAAGTCAGAGGACAAGGTCGAGTAAGCGAACGTTGCTACCAAGGAAGATAAGGAGAACAGAATCAGCGCGAACCTTGTAACATGATGACGGAGGCCATGCATAGGAGTCGTAGTCTGTCTTTCCATCAACTAAAAGGAACTACTTGAAGAACACAGAGGTGTTGAAGCAGGGAGTCGAAAGGGGTAAGGAAGCGACGACAAGTCCAAAGGGACTTAGCTACCCAAAGCCAAGCATCGGTTAGAATGAAGGTGGACTTGGGGGAGTGCCACAGAGGCATATCTATCGATCGCGAAGAAATGAACACGGATGCAAGGCGACTGATAGTAGGGCCATGGGCATAACAGCGCTATGGTACCGTAAAGGCGGGACTTCTGTGACGTCATCGATCCCTTGCTCTCATGGAAGGAAAGCGCTTAGTCGTGAAAGGGGCCGAGGAGGTGGAGAATACTCCAAGTACCGAGACAAGGCTGAAGGGCAGAAGCCAGGGAACTTCGTAAGACCGGTGTCAACGAACTTCTCATCAAAATAACCAAAAGTGAAAGACTTTAAGTCAATGCAAGAGTGCTTGACCAAGGAACGAAGTAGACAGTATGCGGTATTATACCTTTACAACTCAGAGGAGTAGGCAACAAAGATGATGGAGAAGACGGTACAATCCCAAAGGCGACCAAAACTACTAGAGACTTGCTCCAAGTTGGGGTGAAAAATTCTTACATTTCAGAAGTTCGATGACATTGAAAAAGTGAATCACAGTAGCTAAGTAGCTAACTCAACACAAGAAGTGCAAACACTTAGAGTGCTTTAGAAGTGTGAGTAAAGAGCAGGCGAAGGCTAGTAACTAGCTCGATGCATAGAGTACAACCCTCGAGAGGTGAGCGAAGTCAAATGACCTTTGCCTTCTCAACTCTTAAGAGAGTGGGCGAAACTGAGTACCCCAATTCTCTTATCTATCTAGCATAGGAGCTTTGCACAGGTTTAAAGGCCTTTCGAAGAAACCAAATGAAAGATAATAGTTGTCAAATCCTCACGAATGGTGATCAGTGCTACTGATAGTAGATTATCCGCTTTATTTCCCAACAGAATGTCATTCAAAAGTGGAACTGATGCAAACGACTTGAAAGTGACGACTAAGTGGAAATAGAATCGATAGGTAAATTTTATGGTGAAAGGATCCAAAAACTTTAAAGTCTACGAAGCGATGCTCGTTAAAGCTCCAACAAACATCCACCTAGTTTAAGCGGCATGAAGCATTTGAGAGACTAATGCATACTAAGGATGATTTTTTCCTTCATCTGAGGGATCCGTTGGAAACAATAGGGATCAACACAACTCAATCGACCCCACACCATAGTCAGTCATTGGTGAGTTGAAGCAGCATGGCGGATCAAAGTTCGACCACTCAACAACAGTGGTGGAGTCCAATTGGGAGCTAAGAGGCACATTGCCACTATATTAAAAGATTGAAAACTCAGTAAAGGCGAGGAGATGCAACGTCTACAAAGGTTTCGACAAGAACGTCAAAGGAATAAGTGGGGGAGAAAGTCACGGATAAAACTATAAATGGGGTGTTTGATGTAATGCTCATATATGTCCGAATCTTTCGGTTTTATTTATGCTTTGCACAGCATGTAAAGGACTGGCAGAAGGCTTAGCAGCCCCATTTTCTTTGGTTTTGGTGGTCGTCCTAGGCTTGCAAACAAAGGTTGTGTCATGTGGGTACTTGTGGGGATTTTGATCTGTAGTGGACCATTTTGGACCCTTTGTTGGCAACTGTTTAGAGCTTATGAAGTTTGTTTATAATTTACATTGGCTATGAAGTGTTTACTGAAATGATTACTTGTGGATCCCGAGTGAGATGCTTTCTTTAACCCGTTTCCTCTTTGTAAGTCGTAAGGGACCATAGGAGGTTTCAGGGAGGTTGACCTTTGTGGACGGACACACAAGGGCACAACTTAGGCAAAACTAACTAAATGCATGATAACGTTGTAAAAAATGGCTAGTTTTGGCCTGTATTTTTGGCCGTTTTCACATGCTGTGGTGATCGCGATGAGCGGCACGAAACGTCGGCCATCTCAGCACCTTGGAACCCTTCGGGTGGTACAGGGTTGGAGAGGACTCGTTGATTCACACAAGTGGTCATCGCTCTTGGTTAAAAAGCCAGTGGCGCGAAGCTACCATGTGTTGGATTATGACTGAACGCCTCTAAGTCAGAATCTTAGTTAGCAATCGGGGTTCCAGGGTGCTGAGATGGTCGGTGTTTCGCGTCACTCGCTGCAGTTGCCGCAGCATGCAAAAATGGCCCAAAAACAGGCCATTTTTGGCTGCACGAGCGAGCTGCACATTACAAATATATTAAAAGAGAACATCAGAAAAAAATAGTGGTAAGGTTTTCCTCTTACATTTGCCTCCTGTTCTTTCCTCTGTGTTCTGGGAATCCTCCATTATTATTGAACTCTCTAGACAATGAATAGGACATATTAAACTCAGTTAAGCGCTAATACAATAATGTTATGACTTAAGACAATAGACACATTTGTTGATTCAACTCTTGCAGAAGGTTCAAAGTGTCATCTAGCATTACAAGGGTCACTAAAATAATGTTATGACTTAAGACAATAGACACATTTGTTGATTCAACTCTTGCAGAAGGTTCAAAGTGTCATCTAGCATTACAAGGGTCACTAAAATCTGGACTTTTTTTGCTACAAGTAGAAGACAAGTGGAGCATTTCTGAGGTTTTATGTTCATTTTTGCCACAATGTGATTGGCTTAGTTGCTTGATGACATATTAATCTATGACATAAGAGTTGGTTTGTGGTTGATGGCTTATGATACATGACTTGATTGATTTTGCTTTTTTTTAATTTAATTTTTAGGCTACCCAAACTTCTAGATCAACTCTGAAGAATTATGATCAGTTTTATGACAGTTAAGATCTTGACACATCACATGCTCCGGTGTTCATCTCATGTATATAACTTTCAGTAACTTGTGTTCAGAAAAGATATGCTCAAGCCTTGTCTTGCAAGATTAAGAACATGGGATATTCAGTATTTAATGCTTGTGTAGATTGCAATGGCATTGCAATAGTTATAATTCCTTCAAAAAAAAAAATCCCAGAATTGTCATTGCCAAATTTATTGATATTTGAACCAACTCAAGGTGTATGGAAGTGCTGGCACTTGAGATGCCCAACCTTTTTAAGTTTCAGGTCATTTAAGGTCAGTTATGGAACTACGATAACATTGTAAACCACAATCCAATATTTCATGTTGTAATAATTGGAACTGTCACCCATGGCACTAGCTTGTTTCTTTGTCAAGTATCCTCATTAACAAGAAATTTTGTTGTAACAGTTTTGCTTTGGCTTCTGACTGCCGCATCCATCAAGACTGGGCGACCTCAAATTGCTAGACGAGCTATCGAGCTTGCAGAAACCAGGTTATTGAAAGATAGCTGGCCAGAATATTACGACGGAACTCTAGGGAGGTACGTTGGCAAGCAAGCTAGGAAATTCCAGACCTGGTCGATTGCTGGTTATCTGGTGGCAAAAATGATGCTCGAGGATCCTTCTCATCTGGGAATGGTGGCACTGGAGGAAGACAAACAGATGACACCTCCCCTTAGGCGATCAGCTTCATGGTCGCGATGATAGCAATCAGGCACTCTTCCATATTTCTGACAATCTTCGTAACAGTAGCCAAGGTAGCTTTTGATGGTGTTAATTTTTGCAGGATCTTGAAGACGCACAAAATGCTCATAAGATTACCAAGTTGTCTTTTTCCTATGCTTGTGCCCTCAGCAATGCCCCATTGCAAGACCCTTTTTTGTGGTGTAACTGACCATCTTTGTTAATGATGATACATTTGGTGAATTTAGGTTGCTTTTCTCAATATACATTTGATGATACGCAGCGCAGCTCTTAGGAAGCAGTGCTAGAGCATCTCGGTTCGAATCCGAGTGGTGGCAGCCTATGTAATCCTAGAAAATCCATATTCTATGCTTTGCAATCCTAGAAAATCCATATTCTATGCTTTGCCACGTCGGGTATTTTTAAAGAAATGCATAAATCCGAAATATTAGTACCTGCTCTCACCATCTCAGTAGTTAATGATGCACTACAGTCTCATTTATGAAGCTATGCAGCTCAGCTCCTTTCTTTATGCAGATCATTATTATCAGTCGCTCTTTCTTATAGTCATTTCAAAAATGATTAGAAATAGAAATTGACTCATAGTTTGGATTATTGGAGTGATCGTTTCATTAGTGTTTAGGGTTTCCCTTTTTTAACCATAGGCATTCTTTGTGGAGCAGTATGGGCTAATGAGGCATGGGGATCTTATTGGAATTGGGACCCAAAAGACACTTTGGCTTTTCTTACTTTTACCATATTCTATATTTATTCACATACTCATACTAGGAGTCTAAATACAACTAGAAAATACTACTAGAAAAGTATTAGCAAAGAAAGTACGAATTCGGCACTTGTAGCTTCTATAGGAAGTCTATATTCTATTATATCTTAGGTAGGAATCAATCTATTAAGAATAGGTCTACATAGTTATGGTTCATTCACATTAACATCCACTTGAAGAAACTTATGGTTCATTCACATTAACATCCACTTGAAGAAACTACAATTATAAAGAATTGAATAAACTCAATAAATCATACATAAGAACATCATCCATAGTATATATAAGATATTACATCCATAGTATATATAAGATATATATATAAGAACGGGCAGCTTGAGCTTTTTCTTTTTTCCCCTAGAAACTTGCACATGCATGTGTTTTGTTGGCCATGCTATTTAATGGTTTTTTTTTCTTTTTTAAGAATATTGCAGGTGATCATTTTAGCAAGAGCAGCAATGACCCGTAGTAAATTTAAGCAGTAGACGCCAAGGTCTTGAACCGCTTGAAAATCCAGTCTTTTTTTCTTCTTAATGAGATGTGTTAAGATTAGCAATATGAGTGTTATCAATATTTCTTTTTATGTGTTAAGATTAGCAATAAAATAACTCATGTAATTTGCTTTATTAAGATAATTTTATTATTTACATTCAATTATAATATATACATATATAAATATGAACAAAATAATAAAAAAGAATGTTAATTATAATGTCTATTTAAACATATATCACTTTATCTTTTATGGATTGCTCACAAATTTAATCATAAGAATATATCCTTTCAAATATTTTAGGTTATAAATCTTAAATAAATGAATCAGTAATCAATTAAGTATAGTAGAGCTTAAGTTTTTAATTGATATTAGTTATTTTTATTTTTTTTCTTTGATCATCAATTATTTTATACTATAATGCATAGAATTATAATAGTATTTATCATTTTTAGACAAGAAAATATATCACAAAGTATGTTCAGTAATTTGACAAGTAAGTCTAATCATACTAAGTCATTAGATAAAATTTCGAAATCATAAAATTTGATTAGTGGCCTCAAAGCATATTATAAAATTAGCTATCATTATTAATAATGTAATAATATATTACTTTATATTTTTTTCTCGTAAATGTCACTTTCAATTTATTTGAATATAAATCGTAAAGTGGACTTCCTATTATCAAGCTAATTTATGAAATCAACATATGAAAATTCTATCATTTCAAACTAATCTAATTATATATATATATATATATATATATATATATATATATATATATATATATAATCTTTTATTAATTCTGGATATTTTATTACTTTTTTGTAGTCCTTTAGTATTTTTATTCTTGGGTAACTTTAATATTTACCAAGTATTTTAATTGTAAAACTGATATTTGATTTAGCATATGATTGAGCATATAGTCTTTCAATTGTGCATACATAAAGAATATTTTTATTTATATAAATTTTTAAAATTATTTTAAAAATACTTATTTTAATTAAAATTTTATATTTTTGTTATTTGTTGAACAAAACTATTTACTAAATCTCTTTAAGACTGAATCAATATATTCTTTTTATGACGGTCTTAGAAACTTTTGAGGTTTATGTTGAATCTCGTATTTTGATGATACAACCAATTAATAAGTGTTTATGATTTGATCTGCGTTTTTAGTGACGCAAGATGCTTCGATCAGGATGAGACAATTAAAATAGGAATATTTCTGTTAGGCCAGAGGAAAACATGTTAGGAAAACATGTCTTCTCAATGAGATGTGTTTATAACATGTAAATCATAATTGTGAGTATAAAAAATTTGTTAAAATTTAAAATCAAATAATAAAAAATTAAATTTATGGCACTGTTTCTTATGATGCTATTCAAATGGTTTTTATTTGATCTGTAAGCATTGTCGGATCTGAAAGCTATAGTAATGTTAATCTATAAAGAAAATTAGATTCATTTTTTCATTCATGAATTAAAAAAATATAGGTCAATAAATACAATAACACTATATCAAGTCTAATTAGCAATGTGAGTGTTATCAATATCATATTTCCTTTTATGTATTGTAATATTATTAGTCTTTCCTAATATAGTCTAAAATAACTCATGTAATTTATTTTGTCAAGATAATTCTATTATTTACATTCAATTATACTATATGCATACATAAATATGAATAGGATAATAAAAATAAATAATTTTAATTATGTAAAAAAATATTAATTATAATGTATACTTAAACATCACTTTATCTTTTATGGATTGCTCATAAATCCGATCATAAAAATATATTCTTTCAAATACTTTAGGTTATAAATCTTAAATAAATGAATAAGCAATCAATATAGTATAGCTCAAGTTTTTAATTGACATTAGTTATTTATATATATATATTTCTTTAACTATCAATTATAATAGTATTTATCATTTTTAGACAAGAAAACTATCATAATACATCACAAAGTATCTTCGGTAATTTGACAATTAAGTCTAATCATACTAAATCATAAAATTTTGAAGTTATAAAGTTTGACTAGTGGCCTCAAAGCATATTATAAAATTAACTATCATTATTAATAATGTAATAATATATTACTTTATATTTTTCCTCATAAATGTCACTTCCAACTGATATGAATATAAATAGTAAAGTGGACTTCCTATTATCAAGATAATTTATGGAATCAACACATGAAAATATCATCATTTCAAGCTTATATATATATATATATATATATATATATAATCTTTTGTCTCTTCTGGATATCTTATTACTTTGTAGTCTTTTAGTATTTTTATTTTTGAGTAACTTTAATATTTACTAAATATTTTAACTATAAAATTGATATTTGATCTAGGCTTGAGCATATATAAAAAGTATTATTATGACAAAATCATTTGATTCGCTCGAAGGCATGACTTTCAATTGTCCATATATAAAAAATATTTTTATTTATATAATTATTTTAAATTATTTTAAAAATATTTGTTTTAATTATAATTTTATACTTTTATCATTTGTTGAATAAAATTATTTACTAAATCTTTTTAAGAGTCAATCAATATACTCTTTTTATAACGAAACTTTTAGGATCTATTCCTGAATATCTAAATGTTAATAACATAAAATATCTTATTTATATCAATCATCTTAAAATTCTTATTGAAGAATTTCTTAGTTTAGTACAATAAACAAAGATCACTACTAATAAATAAAATATTATTTATATATAAGATCAATATAATAAATTTATTGATTGATCAATAGTATTTTTCTTAAATATGAAGGATGTAATAATATCAAAAAAATTTATATACCATTGTATAGAAGTTT